TTCTGGGCATGTTTTCCAGAGAAAGGTTTACTGAGTCTCGATTTAGAACAATACTGAATGCAGGTGTCTGTATTAAGGATCTTCCTAGTAAAACCCTGCAATCTAATGCAAATCGAAGCAAAGAGCCCTCAAAGTACAACAAACTAATTGATACCTTAGGTACAGGCCTGTCTATACAAGCCATTGTGTAGCTCTGACAGAGGCTTGTGCTCTTTGAAGGGGTGTGTTTTTATAGGTACATGAGAGAGATGCTTTGAGCATCTATTGTGCTTTTCATAGAAGGATCTCAAAGCGCTTTACAAGCATTACAACATTTAAGCCACTCAGCCTTCTTGTTGGTACAGATGAGGGAAACTGAGGCACGGAGTTTAAACAATGCCTGCAAGGTCACATAGTTTGGGGCAGGACTGGGAATAGACCCCACATACCCCTTTCAATTCTTAAGCCCCCAAATCACCCTTCTCCTGTAAATTCAAACCTTCACTTTAGCTTTGAGTTTCCAGTGGCCCATGCAAAAGGTGTGTGACTTCAAAGAACCTGTGGTTTTGCAGTGAGGAAGTTAGTCTACCAGCTACAAATGCTGTATAAATAGCATCTAGCTCTGGACTCATTTCATTTTGTGCAACATGGTTATCTTTAATATTTCCTGGATGTGGAAAGTAGGCAGCGTAAGTGGAGGTGTAATGTAGATGCCATGACTCAAAATGTGTGTTGTTGTTTTTTATTCTGAGCCCCTGCATGAATACAAATCTGTCAGTGGCTGTGGTCCACAGCTCAAGACTAATGCAAAATGGGAATGTAAGAATGATTAGCATATAGGCCCACTTGACAATGCGTCTCTCCAGATTAAAATATGGAGCTGTTAGAGTGAAGGAAGTGGAGGTGTGCAGTTCAGGTGGTCTCTCTTGCCCAGGGAGTGTTGATATTGCTTTATGATTATGAAAACTTTATTATGTATTTAACATGTATTATTTGTGTGTTAACGTAATAAGGTGTCCATCACTAAGGTATCAGGATCCATTCTTAATGTATATACATTAGAACTCTGTGCATCCTCTCAAAACATCTAGTTCGGTTCCCTTAGACCAGACTGAATGTTTAACAGCGTATAACAGCGTTTAAAAGAGAACTGGATAAATTCATGGAGGTTAAGTCCATTAATGGCTATTAGCCAGGATGGGTAAGGAATGGTGTCCCTAGCCTCTGTTTGTCAGAGGGTGGAGATGGATGGCAGGAGAGAGATCACTTGATCATTGCCTGTTAGGTTCACTCCCTCTGGGACACCTGGCATTGGCCACTGTCGGCAGACAAGATACTGGGCTAGATGGACCAGTATGGCCGTTCTTATGAGGAACTAACCAGCTGGGAGACTAATTTCCAGGGGGTGCTAATACTCATAATTTTGCTAGGGCCCACACAAAGTAGATGCACGTTGAAGATAAATCTCTGGCTCTGATATGTCTGTGCTGTGAGTGAATTTGACAGCTGAAGCCCTGCCACTGAGAGGCCTTTACTGCAGGTCCTTGGAATTCCACTCTGGGAACCAACAAAGCAAGCCTTGGCTGTTTACCCCTGCCATGATGGGATTCAGGGGGAGGAGAGGTGGTTCCTGAGACAGGCACTATGTGCCTTTTAGAGGCTGATCAAAGTCTTGAATTGCACCAGGAAGAGCATGGGATTAACATGCGATTATTATGCTGTGTCCTATCTCCCCTGCCTAAAAGGAGAGTAGCTCCATCCTGCACTAGCTGACGTTTCCAAATGCCCCACCAGGGGAGTGCCACATAGCACGCGTTGCAGTGTAGTGTAGCTCGGAGGTGAGGAGATGAGGTTCACTCCTGCCAGGCCTGGTGAATTTCAGGCTCTGCATTGATCTCCTAGTGACATTAGAGAGGTTTCTTAAGAACCAAATGTTATGCAAACCAAGCACCTCTGATCTCTAAAGAATCCTGTTCCCCACAGACCAGTGGAGCTAGATCTCTCTAGAGAGAAAATTACTTTCACGTTGATTTTTCGTCTGGATGAGCCGAGAAAACAGATTGGAACCAAGCTGACAAACTTCTGAAATGCAAAAGATAGGGGTTGTTTCCTATCTGCAGGCTGATCACTAGGCTGTGACCTACCATAGTCAGGCTTATTATCGGGGGTACTTAAATTGCCCCCTTTACCATAGTAATGGAGTGCCTCATAATGTTAATGCATTTATCTTCACAACACCACTGTAGGGTGGGGAAGTGCATTTATCCCCATTTTACACACAGGGAACCGAGGCAAAGAATGATCGTGACTTCTCCAAGGTCACACAGCAAGTCTGTGGTAGAGCAGGGTCTTGAACCAGTTCCCAGGCTACTGCTCTAACCATTGGGCTGTCCTCCTTCTCACTGGATCACAGACGGCAGAGGTGAGAAGCTCCATGGAGAGAATCCAGGAGGAAATCAGGTGCCGCTCTCTTTCATTCTGCATCACGATCCAATCCACACACACTTGTCTGTTCAGTCAGAGATCCCACCGTTGGGCTTATGCTCTTTGTAGCCCCATTAGAAATGCTAACTTCACTGTACATGGATGATAGGGAAGTTCCTTTCTCCATTTCATGTGAGTCCCTTGCTATAAACACAGATTTTTAGACCTTTAATAAGACGAGTACGTCCCAAAGGCACATTGAAGGGCTTGCCAAAGAATCCGATTGCAGATTGCTGCAGCATAACCGTTCATTCTAAGGTTTCTCCCGCTCTGCGTCTGTGGAAACTCGCAAGCAGATATGTAAGGTTGGTAGCCAATGGCAACAGCCATATTAAATGAATAGACTGTCAAACTAAGCACTAATAAATGTAACTATTACATTTTACACTTCTCTCTTTCTTTGCAGCACATCTTCATTTAAAGGTAATGCTCCCAGGGTTTGCGTTCTGCTGATAGGATGCCAGGCCTTAATTTACAGATAGTCTTCAGTAATGCGCGGTTTATATACGTTCTGTTAATAGCATTAGGAGCATAAATTGTACTAATACAAAATTAGACCTGTAATTTGCATAAACAAATTACTGTTTGGATTAGTGGTAAATGGTTAAGAGGACTTGATATTTGAGTGGATTTGATTTGGCCGCAACAGCTCTGTGTGCATAACAGCATCTGTACAAAAATGAGGTGCACGGCTTTACACAGATTGAATGCAAGCTGGCGTTACATAGGAAAAGTCAGTCTGTCAACTGGAAGGGTTTCCTGCAGTGAATGAGCACAGGGAGGGGAGAGTTGGTACTAAGGTGTTAGTTCACAGCCTTTATCAGCTGCTGTTCATCTCATGCAGCTGTCTACAGGCCCTAGATTAATCGTATCCCAGTGTCCTAAAAGCACCAGGGCCATGTGATTGTGCTAACCTTTCTCGCTCTGAGTGCTGGGAAGTAAGGGGTGTCACTCCATTCTCATCCCTCTCACTGGCTGCCAGATCTGCTCTTACAGCAGAGGGGAAAGGGGCTAGGAAGTTGGTCCCAGTAGCTGGCCGTGCTACCATGTCTTTTGGTTCCCAGTCTCCGCTCTCTGCTACGTAGGCCCTAGGCAGGTCAGTGTCTGTGGCTGGTGTTAGGCAGAGCACTGATTAGACTTGCGGGCCCCGCAAGAACCACTTGTAAGGCCCTAAAGAGGTGCTGAAGGGCCACAGTTTATGGATCACTTTCCTACAGCTTTAGGGCTCCAGTAAGTTTGGTTAGACTCTGTTCAGCTGCCGTAGTGGGGCACAATCCAGTCACTGTTTGTCCCACCTGTCTGTGGAATTCCAGGCCTACATCTGTTGCCAGCTACTTATGATTGCAGATGGGTCTTGGGCTGCCGGCCCCATCTGGGCTGCCCCAACACTTCCATCTGGCTAGGAAGGACGTCCTTTCTCGGGGAGATTCTGCAGAGAGGGCATCTTCTCCGGCACTGGTGCGAAACAGGGACAACCTGGAAAAGGGGGCTCCTCAGAGAGAGCCAACTTCTGGCTTTAAATGAACCATTGAGCTTGGCAGCTATGGCTCTTCCATGAGCCAGGGCTAGGGACAGGATGTTCCAAACCACTGAGCAGCTAAGTGCTCCTGTGCCCAGTTTCACTGGGATGGCCGTCCCCACATGCAGTAAGGTCGGCTCTGTATGTAGAAGGCACACAGAAACCTCATTGTGCGATATGCTGTTATGCACTAATGGCCACGTATACAGCCCAGGTTTTAGCTGTACTTTGGGTTCAGCGTTGGAGGTCCACGGTATCAGTCAGCAATATTTAGGGCCAATGAACAGGGCTGGGTCAACCAAAGCCAGGGTGCCCTGAGAAGCCATTTGATGTCCCCTAGTGCCCCTCAGCCAGCTTCAAGACCCAGAGTTCTCTTCCCAGCAGCACTTCCCCCAAACTTCTATTCTGGCTTGGGGAGGATGGGGCTGCTCAGCCCTGTAGGGAAGGGGGAATGAAGATGTACTGTGTCCTGAGCTGAGGAGCGAAAGGGCCTTAAAGGGAGTAGTCAATAGATGTTAAACAAGAGGCGTGGGGGACCTATGATTTTCCTCTGGCCTGCAGGAGAAGAGAGCCCCTGGGGAGGGGTAGCTCAGTGGTTTGAGCATTGGCCTGCTAAACCCAGGGATGTGAGTTCAATCCTTGAGGGGGCCACTTAGGGATCTGGGGCACAAATCAGTACTTGGTCCTGCTAGTGAAGGCAGGGGGCTGGACTCAATGACCTTTCGGGGTCCCTTCCAGTTCTATGAGATAGGTATATCTCCATATAAAAAATAAAAATAAAAAAAATTCCTCTAGTTATTTAGAGCTCTCCATCATTCTGGTAGTACGGAGCATGAGCAGGAAGGATCCAGCTAGCACAGCAAGTGGCCCTAGGTGGGGCTGGATCCCATCCCCAGGAGACTCCCTCCATCTGTAGGTTTGTCCATGAAATCTGAAGCAAAGTGAAGCTTCATTGGACAGCTTTCTGGATACAAAGCTCACCTCTTCTCCCATTTGTGGCCTTTCTTTGTCTTTGCAGATCTCTGGTATTAAACCCAATGCGCCAGTCACCCCTAGGCGGCAAATCCCAGCAGCTGCAGCCGAGATGGAGGAACAAAGGCTTTTGCTGTATAGGAGGTGTGATGTACAGGGTGTCAGCCAATAAGCTCTCCAAAACCTCCAGCTCCCCAGTCAGGGGTGGCGACCCGAGTAACAAGCTCCACGGTAGAACAGGTAGGTGGTGATAAAGCCTCTGTGATCTGTGCTGAGAGTTTGCACATCTGTGTGTGTGAATTCCCGGTGAGACAAACTGAGCAACATGTGTCCGCATTCACATCTCTCCAACTCCATCGTGTGGCACATTCCACTGTGCTTGTGTCCCCCGCTTGCTCGTGAAGGGTCCCAGCCACCAAGGGGCCAGTAAAAACCAGAAATCAAAGTGGGAGAGAAGCGAACTAATGCAGCCACGCAGGCCATGGATACTGTGACCTTTAGTCTGATTGAATGAGAAATACAGATGTTCCTGAACGGGGCTATGAGATGGTAAGAGCAAGGTGAGGCTTACAGAAATGTATCACCACTTCGTATTAAAGCTCGCCAGCCCGGCAGTGTTCCCGCAACTGCTGCTTCTCCCCAGACACTCTTTCTGCTACTCGGTGTGACTATTTTAACTCTTCCCAAACGCATCAGAATCCTGCAGGAGCATGTGCCTGAACTATCATTTGGTTGCCACCCTCCCATAGCCTGCTCGACAGCCCTATCCCTAGCCGCTTTACCAGACAAAGGGAAGACTGCCTGAACTCAGAGGTGCCGAGATACTACTCTGATGGGCACCCTATAGCTACCTAAGAGAGTGCTTCCTGTAAATGGCTCATCCAGCCCAAAGACATCTGTTGGGTTCACCAAATTAAACTTAATACTGATCTAAGTAGATCAGCCGTGGCTGTTAATTGCTTCTAGAGATATTTGTCCCAATAACATTGGTTTCACGTCTTCGTCGCTTTTGTTATAGAAGTGTCAGCTGCTGGTTACTGCTGGAGGTGAAATGACAAACCTAGATTGACCAGTGTCCTAGTCTAGAATGGCCTGTGTTCCTATCCCACTTGTATTTGACAGCTTGTCTTATGTACTTCTCTGAAGCAATCCAGGGCTTGAGGACCTGTTGTGCATTTTCCTCCATTTCTGTCTGTGCTCAGCAGGTGTTTATTCTGTAACCACTGTCGTAAAGGAAAAACAGGATAATCTGGCTGTCTCTCTCAAGTATTTATGTGGCCCCACCACTGTAATACCGGAGCCACTCACAGTCTGTAATGGATTTATCTTCACAACCTCACTGAGGTGTTGTGAAGTTCCCTTCTCATTGTACAGGCGGGGAACTGAGGCACAGAGACACTAAGCCTATGTCTACACTGGCGCTTTTGTCTGCCAGGGGTGTGAAAAAACACCCCTGAACGACTGCGCTATGTCGGCGGGAGACGCTCTCCTGCCGACATAGTTACTGCCTCTCATTGGAGGTGGTTGAATTATGCTGACGGGAGAGCGGCTACACGGGAGACCTTACAGCGGCACAGCCAAGTCCAAAGCTAGTGCCCTAACCGCTGGACCATTCTGCCGTGCTAACTATAATAAATCTCGGCTAAGTCAAATGGTTAGTCTGTAGAGTTTTTGGTGGGAGAGGGTTGAGTTTTGGAGAGATGGAGGGTGGATGTATAAATTAATGTTACTATACTTGGATCTGACTTGGTCCCCCCACTACAGAAAGGATGTGGACAAATTGGAGAGAGTCCAGCGGAGGGCAACGAAAATTATTAGGGGGCTGGGGCACATGATTTACGAGGAGAGGCTGAGGGAACTGGGATTATTTAGTTTACAGAAGAGAAGAATGTGGGGAGATTTGATAGCAGCCTTCAACTACCTGAAGGGGGGTTCCAAAGAGGATGGAGCTCGGCTGTTCTCGGTGGTGGCAGATGACAGAACAAGGAGCAATGGTCTCAAGTTGCAGTGGGGGAGGTTTAGGTTGGATATGGGTTACCTAGGGAGGTGGTGGAATCTCCATCCTTAAAGGTTTTTAAGGTCTGGCTTGACAAAGCCCTGGCTGGGATGATTTAGTTGGTGTTGGTCCTGCTTTGAGCAGGGGATTGGACTAGATGACCTCCTGAGGTCTCTTCCAATCCTAATATTCTATGATTTTATGAATTGATACAAAGGTGAGGATTTAATTTTAAATATAATTTAAAACACTGGGAGATTGACAGGTTAAAAAGAGAGCTCAGGACATGTGAAAGTGGATACAGTAAGCTTATTTGAAAGGCCTAGGCTACTGAGGGGGAGGACCTCTCAACTGTCCAGACACTGATTGGGATAACTAGAGTGGAATCAGTTAAAGGGGAGACGTTCCCAGAGGATCTCATACAGCTCTGTTGCCTGGCATAGTTGGGGGAACATCCCATCATTTTAGGAGGGTTTTTCCTCTCCCTTCTCTTGCTCAACGGAAATAACTGAGGTATGATAAACAAGAAGTTGGTGAGCACCTGGGGCCTGCTGATTACAGTGTAAACAGAACTGAAATGCTTCTCTCACTGTATCTGAAAGTGGCATTTCGGCAGCGCGCCCACAACCCCTGACTTCACAGAAGTGCAGGATGAGGTGAAGGAAAATCTTTGGAATCGATAATTGTCCAAATTAACTCAGGAAAAAATCAATCTACATCTAATTTCCCTCTTTCCCCCCCTTGAAAACAACCCAAAAGAGAGCAAAAGCCCAAGGCAAATGAAATATTTAAAAGGGACGCTGGCAGGCAGTGCGGTTAAACAAACCCATAAAGAACAGGATTAGAGAGGGAGCGAGTGAGAGAGCCTTGAATAGGCACAAAAATCCTGTCAGCAGAAGAACTGAGCAGCCTCGGAAAGTTTTTAAAAATGGGCAGAAATTAAGAGCAAATGGCAACATCGCAACAAAGACTAAACACCTCCCCCTCTTCCCCAGCTTACATGCAGGCGTAAATGTGAGAGAGAGAAAATTGAGAGTGGGAAATTAGGGCTAGGCGGGAAAAGTAACCGCGGCGATGAGAAATGCTTACGGCACATCATCTCCGTAGGTGAAGAGGGCGGAGATTTAGCTTAAACCAGGGATTAGCTTCCCAGGCCCTGCCGATGGGAAATGAAGAAGTGTGCAGATAATGCCAGAGATGATGCTGCTGAGGAGGTCAGAGGGGTGGAAAGTTGATGAAGCATCGTTTCCAGGTAATCTGCCTTCCGAGAGCATTAAAAGAAGTCTGGCCAGCAGTTTGGGAAGGAAGCTGTAGCTGGCATTTTCACAACTTAGGCCTGTTCAGGACAGAGACCCACCCTGTGGCTGGCTACGCAGGCAGGTACTGTAGAGTGTCTTCCCTACTGCTGTCTCTGCACCCACACACCCAGGTTCTTGTTTGTTTTAAAAGCACTTGATCCCACCTGTAAGCTGTTGACCCATCACTTTGCTACTGTGTGTGGGAAAAGGTACGGGGGAACTTTGTGAAGGGGGAAGCAGGTGGACCAAACCACAGACCAAAGGGAAATCTTTGTCACCAGACAAAAAACTACACAGTATTTTTTATATATGTGTGTGTGTGTGTATATATACACATACACACACACACAGTATAAGTTTTAAACAGACACTTTAATACTGTACACAGCAATGCTGATTGTGAAGCTTGGTTGAGGTAGTGAAAGAAGAGGGTGGGATATTTCCAGGGAATGCCTTACTGCTAAACGTTGAACTAGCTGAGCCCTCAAGGATTAACACCTGGTTGTTAATGTAGCCTCACACTCTACAAGGCATCAGGAATCGGGGGAGGGGAGACAGCATGGCAGAGAGAGAGACCCACACCCTGTGTGTGGGGGAGAGAGAGACGTGCATTGCCCCTTTAAGTACGCTGACCCCACTCTAAGTACATTGCCTTTAAAAAGATCAGGAAGTTGAGACAGCAGCTGCGGCCAGCAAGCTCTCTCAGTCCTGCCCCCTGTCGTGTCCCCCCCCTGCTCTATATGGAGAAGGGGTAAGTGGGGGGCAGGAGTATGGGGGAGGGAGGCACCCTGACATTAGTCCCCATCTTCCCCGCCTCCCCTGCACAGCAAGCAGGTGGCTCCCGGGAGCAGCTCCCAGGCAGAGGGCAGGAGCAGCACACGGCAGTGGGGTAGGGACAGCTGAACTGCTGGCAATTGGTAGCCTGCTGGGTGGCTGCTGCACAGGGAACTTAGGGGAGCGGGGAGCTGATGGGGGGCTACCGGTCCACCCTGGTTCCAAACCCCCACCAGCTAGCTGCAACGGGCTGCTCTTCCTGCAAGCAGTGGACAAGGCAGGCGGCTGCCAAACAACGTTATCAGGGAGCATTGCACAACTTTAAATGAGCATGTTCCCTAATTGATCAGCAACGTAACAACGAAACAACGTTAACTGGGACGACTTTAAGTGAGGAGTTACTGTACAGTGAATGCTGTGGTGAGTGGGTGATCTCTGATTTGGGGGAATTCAGTACTAGTAAAGGTCCCTTAGTTTTGAATCCCTTCTGTTCTGAATGGCCCTTTTACCCCTGCCATTTGAACCATTCAGTTTATACCCCTATAGCTCGGTCTCTTTGGGTACGTCTACACTTACCTCCGGGTCCGACGGCAGGCAATCGGTGTTCTGGGATCAATCCCGGAAGTGCTCGCCGTCGACGCCAGTACTCCAGCTCAGCGAGAGGAGTACGCGGCATCGACAGGGGAGCCTGCCTGCCGCATCTGGACCCGCGGTAAGTTCGGACTAAGGTACTTCGAATTCAGCTACGTTATTAATTTGCGTACCTTAGTCCGAAGTGGGGGGGTAGTGTGGACCAGGCCTCAGTGTGACTTTTCAGCCCTCCTTTGGAATGTAGCCACATTATCTCCTGCTTGGAAAGGGTGAATTCCATTGAATATCAGAATTCCTTCCTTCGGGACAGGTGGGGCTGTCAGGCTGCAAAATCGTATTTATTTGTCGTGTATAAGACTCTACACATCCGCTTAAGCTTGATCTTAAGCACTTTAAAAGGTATATTTAGAAGAGAGCTTTTCAGTTCCCCTTCAGTGCAAAACATAGTGTATTTTGGGCTAGCAAGGAGATGGGAAACACTCTTGACAATTTAATAGCTTGGAATTTACTTAAGGTGGGTTATAAATTGCCTTGTGATTCTGCTCTTCGTCCGAATTTATTGGGTCAGTATTTCGTCTCCT